AAACTATTTATCCTTCTGTCTTTAATAAATATTATGTCCGTTTCAGATATTTTGAATATTCCCAACAATCAAAATGAATTTAAATTACCATACATTTACTGGATTCCTAAATTTCATAAAAATCCTTACAAACAAAGATAAATAGCGGGTTCCAGTAAATGTTCTACCAAGCCTCTTTCTTTACTCCTCACTTAAATATTTACTGTAATGAAGGAGAAACTTCAGAAGTACTGTACAACAGTATATTCGAGAAGTGTTGTAAATCAGATGTGGATACTTAAAAATTCCAAAGAACATTTGGAAAATTTAAAATCACAAAATCTTACTAAAATCAATATCATCAAAACATACGACTTTTCAACACTTTATACAACCATTTCACGATAAATTGATATCCAGGCTTTTTTACATCATAGACAGCTGCTTTTTCAATAAAAATGGAACTCGTAAATATACTTACTTTGTCATTGGTCATTTACAAAACTATTTTGTTAAAAAGCACTCTGATTGTACACACAAGTACTCTGAAGCTGATATTAAAGAAATGTTTCAGTTTCTGATTCACAATATCTATGTAGTTTTCTTCCAACAATTTGGAGGAATTCCCATGGGTACCAATTGCGTTCCCTTATTAGCAGACATATTTTTGTATTCATATGAAGCAGAATTTATTTAAAAAAAAAAAACTCCTACATGAGAAGAAAAAACACTTGCTGTGACCTTCAACTCGACATTTTGATATATCGACGACGTATTATCAATAAACAATAGTTACTTTTATTCATATGTCGACTCGATATATCCCAGTGAGCTTGAAATAAAAGATACCACAGATTCTGACACATCTGTTTCATATTTAGATATTTTACTAGAAAAAGACGTTAATGGTAACCTAACAACAAAGCTTTGTGATAAACATGATGACTTCAACTTTTCAATCGTCAACTTCCCTTACTTATGCAGCAATATACCTTCATCACCTGCATATGGGGTTTATATCTCTCAGTTGATTTGATACGCAAGAGCATGCTCTACATATGTACAATTTCTAAAATGAGGTAAATTATTGACAAACAAGTTGTTGAAACAAGAATCTTTTCGCAAGTTTTACGGTCAATATAATAATCTTGTCAGCACATACAAGCTATCATTGAGTAAAATTGAGTCAAATGCTGACTGACGTTTTTCATACTAATTGTTAGGCCATTATTTATACATTTAACTGTCTACGGATTTTCCCGGGTTTTTCCCGATCATGACAAGGAGCACACGGCGGGTGTGATCGGTCGGCAGGGGATGCTCACTCCTCCATGGCATCTGATCCCACCTCTAGTTTCTGAGGTCCGTGTTTGCTGTGCTCCAAATTTGTATCGTTTCATTGGACTTTCGAGATTGAATACTGTTCGTTATCTTCATATTTCACTAGAAAAGTTTTTAAAAGTTGAAAGAAAACAGAAAGCATTCATTAAACCAAGACTTCGTTGTAAGAGGTAAGTCAGAAAGGCATCTTGTGATTAAGATCTAAATGTATAAAGATTTAACTATCATTTTAATGACATTAATTAAAAATCAATGCAAATAATACAAAATGCATGAAGATCTTCCGGAAAAAGAATGATGCCATCAACCTTAATAGCAAAGAAATAGAAGACGTTGAAACCATCTTTTACCTACGAGCCACAATAGACAAGACAGAAGGAACAGAAGCATACATAAGGAGATGTCTAGGATTAGCCAGAAGTGCTTTTTCATCCCTGAACTAAGTATGAACGTCGGCACAATACAGCAGTATAAAATCGAACTAAGAATCTTCAATTCAAATGTCATATCAGTATTGCTGAGTGTTCCAAGCTTAGGAAAACCAAAGAGAAAGAATATGAAAGGCTGAGAATCCTGAAGATACATTGGCCAGATAAGAACACAAATCCACAACTGTATGAAAGAACAAGAATCTTTCTAATCCATACCAATCAAAAAGAGACGATGGAAATGGATAGGCCATATTCTGCGAAAAGACTCCAGATCTCACATGAAAATTGCTTTAACATGGATACCACAAGAAAAATTGAAAGCGAAGAAGACAAAAGAACACATTGAATTACATGGTAGAGAAAGAAATGGAAGAACTAGGGTGGAATAGTTGTAGGGAAACGAATGTTGTGCCAGTGACCGTCGTGATTGGGGACATTTGTTGAACGGTTACATCGTCCTCCGGGACACGGAAAGGATAAGTAAGTAAGTATAATTTTTTTATTCTTTGATTTTTATGTTTAGTCAAAATCATTAAACGTCTTTGTTATTTAACAAATTCATACATAAGAATTTTGAAATCTGTGCATGATGAAAAATGCATAACTACAATAACATTTCACAATACTCAGTATTAAATTATGCACTTTTTAAGCAGGTGAGTAATTGAAGTATGTTTAAGGGATTATGTAAAAGGTGAAGATAATGAACAGTGATCTATCTTATAAATCTAGAAAACGAAACGAAAGGTGAAATGGGCAAAAACACGGACTCCTGGAAACACCAGAGGTGGGATCAGGTGCCAAGGAGGAGTAAATATCTCTACTGACTGGTCACACCTGCCGGAACCCTTTTTATTAAACAGGTATAAAGTGTACTCTAGTGAAGCTTAGTATAAAGCAATGACTTAACAAAAGGTAAGAAACAAGTCAGACAAAATGCAACCCAATGATAGAGTGTATTTACAAACAAGGTCATTATAACGACAATAAAATTTGCGACAAGCTGACTTTATACGAAGTTGTTGAAATCCTTGCATTATCAACTTATTTATCAGTAGCTTACTTCGGTTTAAAAATTGACCGTACTAAGTGTATCGTTGGGAGTCATAAGGAAAGTTGACAATAGAAAAGCTAAAGTCATCCCGTTTGTTATACAGTGTGGTTATTAGCTGGTCATTATCGTTTATAGTCAGTTAAACATCCACATACGAAAAAAAAATATGTGGCAGACTCTGTAAAGTCTTATATTTCGATTTTATTGTGATATATCGGGTCGAAATATGAATGAAAAAACCAATAGGAAATTGAAAAATCGATATATGTAAAATTTCGAGCAAGAGTTTTCTTCTTCTCATGTAGAAGCTTTTTAATAGATTCTGCTTTATAGGAATATACAAACAGGTTGAATAATAACGGAGCACAATTAATGCCCATTGCAATTTCAACAGATTAATATGTTATTTAATTTTATTACCTAACCTACTATATAAATTGTAATTAGGCATTTTGAACTGTTTTCTGATTCTTTTTAATGTTTTTGCAAATCATGAAACAGTCAGAACTGTTTACCCGGTCACATAATGAACTGTTGCATGGCTGAACTGTTCCATTATGACGTCACAATTAATTCCACGTACTTTACAGCTATAATATTGAATTATGTATTAATTGAAGCATATTCATTCAATTTGAAATTATCATCTGAAACGTAATCCTGATACCAATATAAATATATATTCAGTTTAATATCATTTCAAAGAAGAGGCCATGAACACATTTTCTGAGGGTAATTTTGGCAAAATGTAGGCCCCTTTCACTCAGTATAGATCTTTGCTATTTATAAACGTGTAATATTCAAATCTTCAAGACATCATTATGTTGTTTACTACTTTTTTTCAATTAATTAGTGCATGATAATATCACACCCATTAATTTTTCTGAACACCAATCAGTGTGAGAATTTGATTAATATTTGTCTTGTTAGTTTGGTTTTAAAAATAATACAAACTTTTGTCGATGTATTTTAAAAGCCATTGATTATTATGTTGATATCATTACTTTGAGAAATTATACAGTAGGTTAGGTAATAAAACACTTATTTCATGACAACTCGTGAAACAGTCAGACTGTTGTCCCTCGATAATGGGGAAGACCTGGGAAACTGTTGCCCTCGGCCTTTGGCCTCGGGCAACAGTTTTCCAGGTCTTCCCCATTACCTCGGGACAACAGTTTGACTGTTCCCCTCGTAGTCATGAAATAAGTGTATATTGTTTAATTATTCCATTGTCAGTTGCAGAATCATGCATACCTAGTCTGAGGTGCAAAAGAGCATGCAAAAATGGTTTTTCCTCGTATTCAACTCTAAACAAGACCTGTAAACAAAGTGATTTAGAATGCAGATTGGCGATTCGACATTTCTAGCTATATAGGATCAAAACAATGTGTTAGCATGAGCAGAGCAAAGTTTACAGAAATGAATTTCGGCATCAAATCATTAAAAGTTTCATGCGACCAGAAAGCGTGGTCTTTCAGCAAGTTTCACCTATAGAGTGGACAGTTGCATGTGTGATCATTCGAAGTCAGTCGATAATTGATAATCTTGAAATCTTCATTTACCAACATGCATAATATTTCAAAATACGTAGATATTAAGAAGAATTTTTTTTTGTGTAAAAATCCATTTTTATAATACATGAACCATATTATTTTCTGAAATCAAATTGCTGCTAAAAATCCACAGAATAAGGGACACTTATTGAAGTCGCCCAACATCATACTCAATAAAAAATTCATTATTGAAGAGTTGCTGTTAAATTCAAGTTCATCTAAAGATATGAAAAACATTATCAGATAGCTCCACAATATTGATTTGATGACATTGAAAGATACACTAATCAACTATCGATGTACCATAAGCCCGTGATTTTAAAAATTCAAACCTATTAGGTATAGATTGAGAGGATTACTTAAAGAGAAGTCCAATGTCATCGAATTGAATAACTTTACATTGTATTGTACACATTTAGCTTTCAGCCTTAGTATTAGTAGATGCTATTCCAAAAGTCTACAAGAGATATCGATCTAATGCAAGCCCAGTTATACCTGCAGATCGATGGATCGATTTTTACTTGTCACATGCTATAGCTGTATTATGATAGGCTCAGAATGAAGTTTAATGTTTTATCTGGAAACCAATATCCATCGGAACTGCGTGCTGTATACAGCGTAGTATGCCTCAGATGATTCCGTCTTTGTGAAAAAGGGATTTAATCTCGATTCTACATTTCAAAACGGGAAATATTTTTAGAAGATGGAGGAACTTTTGAAAAATGAAACGGTCAAGAAAAAAATTAAGGGGCTTTCCATTGAAATACGGGTAAGTTGACATGTCAGTAGCTGAAAGTTTGAAATCGATTTCCCCTCAATTTAACGATTAGGCAATTACATTTCCTTTCACGCCATTTTAATCATGGCGGAAAATAAGAGTATGAATAATGTGAAAAAACACAGTAAATTGCAAAATTATACAGCCGTAATGGCAATTGGGGAAAATTAATCTCATCATTCTTTGATTACTTTAAGAAAATAGCTAACATTAATTTTATTGCTTAGCTTATATATACTGGTGGTTTCAGATATTTATAATTCAGTACTCATTGAACAGTGTGTGATTTGTTTACAATTCTACAGAGTAAAAACTTGCAGACTGATCAACTACCTTTGAAAAAGTAGACAGGTGTACATAAAAATACCAAATATAGGGATTATTTATAATGATATAAATGTGTAAAATGTACACGTATTAATTGTTTGTTAAAATGAACACAAATAAGTGTCCTAAAAAGCTTTAGAGCTAACTTTTAACAAATTTAAAAAAAAAAATTAACGATGGGATATTTGAAGGTTAACACTCAACAGTAATAGCAAAGGTTAACAGTTTTGCAAAATCATAAAATGTAATACAATGTTAGATACTAGTAGGACCCAATTTCAAAAGTTACTTCTGACAACTATTTGCTTCTTTCGAAGTTTTCTGGCCCAGATATAAGAATAAAATTCTATGATCAATTTGGAGCGCACATGACTTTGATACACATGTCTTCATTGATTTATAATCAATGAACTTTTTCTCCGAAGATATATATTAAATTAACATGTATATGAACAAAAGAACCATAATCTTCAAGTAGATTTTTGAAACTGATTTTTTTTTTCTAGATAAATAATTTGGGTAATTTAGTATGTTCATTATACGTGCCCCTCTATAGAAACAATGTACTAGACAGTATTCCTTTAATTTTGTATGTCAGCTTGTACATTCCTGATGAATTCACTTAACCTCTCCTCGCAAATAATCTTTTTTACGGAGTTTTTTTGGTATATTTGTCAAAAAAAAAAAAAAAATACACTGTCACAGGTCCAACTTAGATCTCGTCTTGTTCAGTGTTCTCCGGAGGATACCGTGAGCTTTTGTCTTGTTCAGTGTTCTCCGGAGGATACCGTGAGCTTTTGTCTTGTTCAGTGTTCTCCGGAGGATACCGTGAGCTTTCGTTTTGTTCAGTGTTCTCTGGAGTGTACCGTGAGCTTTTGTCTTGTTCAGTGTTCTCCGGAGGATACCGTGAGCTTTTGTCTTGTTCAGTGTTCTCCGGAGCTTTGTTCCCAGTCTTGTTCTCCTGTATCGCTTTCATGAATTTATCTGCGTTGGCTTCAAATAAAGGTTTCTTTCCCTTTACAACACACACCATGTAACTTTGTTCCCTGCTCTAAATTGTTTGAGAACAGAATTCAATAGAATAACTAAAAGATAGTCTTCATTATTATATTTTAATTTTCGTTATGTGGTTATGTGTTTTTTTTCCTTTCCATACAATCTCTGTTTCTCCTTATCAGAATTCGTGATCAGAAGCATTGTTGGATGAGGTTTGTAGACTTCTGGGTTATTCCAGTTTGATAATAAGTGAGCTCTTTTATTTTCTTTGTTTCTCTAGTTCTGTAATGGATGTTATATAACCTTTATCTGTTGGTTTAAGTTTAGTTTGGCATTGCTCTCCTCTATATTGCAATGTCTGAGATGTGTCAGAATGTCAAAGACTACCTAATCTATGTTCCTCCTCAATTAGATCAATGTTACCTCTAGGTTTTAACCTGTCGCTACCAAGTCTTTTTCTGCCTGTTTGTGTTTTAGGCTAAGAATCTTTTAACGCCCTACATTCTTTCAAACTTAAAAGGATTGGCATCTGGTTTCTTTCTTTATAACTTAAAGTTAGCGGTGATTTTTATGGAAAATTAAGTACCATAAGAAATATTTAGCAAAAAGTATTTATACACAAACAAATCTAGTATTTTATGAAATATAAAAGTGAAGAATATATCTTAGGCTTTTAATCTATGTCAATTCATAAGATAATATAACTCTTTAATTTTTGTTACACAATTTTTCATCATTCGTATCAAGAAAATAATTTTGGGGGTAATATCAAGAAAAAAATTATATGAAAATGCAAATTATTTGATTAATTTCAGTGTAAGATTTTTTATGAAAAGAAATCCATACTGCTTGTTTTAACAAGTCTCTTTCATTTATAACAATTCAAGTTAATATCTTTGACATATAATTAAGTTTTGATTGTTAAGAACGTAAACAAAAATAAAATAATACAATAGGGTGGGTGGGGCATCTATAGTGACTAATATGAGGGGTAATGATAGTAAACATATAATTTCTTAACTTATTGTGTTTAAATTTTATTTTATCCAGATGGAAATCATTGCTGTTGTAATTTTTGACAAATGAAAAAGGTAAAAATAAAGAACATTGATCGATCTCAAAAAAATCTACAAACTATACAAATCTGTGAACAGGGCATAAAACGCGGACCCCTGGAAATTCTAGAGATGGGATCAGGTGCCTAGGAGGAGTTAGCATTCCCAGTCATGATCTCTAAGTATTGATCAGGTAGACGAAACACTCCGTAGTCAAATTTATTATAAAAACATAGGCCTACCTATTGGTAAGAAACACGTCAACCAAAATACGACCCAATGATAGGTTATATTTGTTAACAAAATCATTATAACGACCATAGGATTTACAAAATGCTGCCTTTCAATGAGGTTGTTGAAATCCTTGTAACATCAACTTATCTGTCAGTAGCATGCCTCGGTTAAAAAATCGATCATTCTCAGTGCATTTTCTTAAGGTGAAATATCCCTCTGCTCCAAATTTCACAAATGTTTGTTAAAATTCCCAACATTGTTTTTCATCAATAACAACAATAGCATAAGATTCAAGTGGAAAATAGTTTGAAGTATGAAGCTTTGCTTACTTTTTCAGAAATGAATATTATGTCTAATCATAATCTGAAGAAAATTTGATATGGTGAATAGAAAGACCAATAATTTTTTATCTCACCCTAAAATTTTAAAATATGAGGTATATATGAAAATGATATTTACTATCATACCTATCTAATTCACATTAGAAAACATAACGAAGCGTTGCTTTTTTAATCAGAATATCATATTGTTTTCTGTGCTTGTAAAATAAAAATGCATTCATCTACAAGAGTTATCTTTCCATCTACAGGAGTGATCATTCTTCAAAATTTTTTTTGGTGAAAAAAAATTAATTAATTAATTGTAAAAAGTCTGGTTAGTCTTCATCTGAAATTTCTGTAACAATTAAAGAATTTTATGAAAGAGAAATATCTCAATTTTAACAATTTAAAGGAATTGAGTATAAATGTTCTAGGTAAACTATTATAAGTAATTAATAAAAATATAAGCAATAGAAAATAGAAATCAATATTTGTAACTTAATTCGGATTTGAATGAGTTGACTATATAATGGTCCTCATTATCAAACTCTGGTAAGACAATTCGATCATTAGATCTCTTGGAATAATTTTCCTTGGAAAGTTATCTCTCTTATCAGAGGGATGTTACACCTTAAGTATCGAATAAGTTGGAAGACGTTAACACCATATGCAGGTGTTGTTGGAATATTACTACATAAATAAGGAAAGTTGACGATGGAAAAGCTGAAGACATACCGTTTGTCATACAGTTTAGTTGTTAGTTGGTCGTTTTTAGTCGGTAAAACATCCAAAATGAAACAGATGTGGCAGAGTATGTGGTGTCTTATTTCTCGCATAAAATGCGTTTTGTCGACTCCTCGATCCAAATTGTTTGCCTTCGGCTTAATGGCCTCAGGCAAACAGTTTGGTTCTTGGGTCCGACGAAACGCATGTTACCAACGAACCCAGTCAATATCTGTTTACTATTATCTGTGATAGAAGCTAAAATAAAATGTTTTGGGGTTCCATAAGTTTTATTGAAATGTCAACTGCTTCATTTAGAAATAATTCTCTCTCTCTCTCTCTCTCTCTCTCTCTCTCTCTCTTCTGTTTTGCTTGTTTTACTTACTGATATATCTATCTGATATCTTAGGTGGGAACTTTTCACTGCTTCGTTGATCACTTCTCGGTATTTGTTGGAGATTAACTTGTCTGATATCTTCAGAAAATGATTCCATACTTATCTACTTTATATTTGCCAATACGACATAAAGAGAAAGTTTTCTCTCTAGTTGGTAGGTAACAAACACTATCGACGAGACCTAACAAAACATTGGACATGCTATTGTTTCTTGTTTTGGACTCCAGTAGTGTTCGATTTAAAAAACTCTTTAACTTTCTTTCTATACTATATTCTACGAATTGTTATTGTAAATGTGTAATGAATCGAAGAATATTTTTCACCCGATCTTTGATCTGGATCAAACTATGACAGAAACAATTGATTATTTCGAGCAAATTAAATATTCGTTAACAGACTCCTTTGTGATACATCGAATGTTGACAAGTCCTTGCAATTTTAATGAATCATTCAAGATCAAGCAACATTATCATAAAGAGGTTAATTTATTAGGGGAAATCGATGATATTCCTAAGTAGAACTTTGAATCCTTCTGTATTTATTTTAAGGGTTTTTTTTAAGCATTGCTTCATGGACTTTACTGATTATTGATTTTATGTGGTCATTTCTATAACATAATATAATGGACAATTTAGAAGCTTCTTTTTATAGGCTATAAAAAGTTATCTTCTATACATGCTATTTGTAGTAATATTTACACAATACTACATTTTTAAACAATTGTTTTTACTCACAAGTTTATAAACATGAGGGTATAATGAAGGTGTCGTATGGACTTCAATTTAAAGAACTCTTCAGCAAATTAAAAAAATATATATATTATTGCGTAAATTTACTTTTTTTGGATTTTGTATTAATTGCTATCAAATCTTATATTTCGGCTAATGTATTAAAATTTATAAATTCCACACAGCCTTAAACCCACCTACGACACAGTCAAAGTGAATATTTTAATTGATTCTGATGACACTTCGTCTTTAATCTGAATTAATCCTTTTTACGTACATGCCGCTAAAGTTTGATCAGCCACTCAATAACCGTTTGATGACAGACTTATATTTTATTGTCTATCCTTTAATTTTGTATGTTTTGTCGTTAACAATCATAGTAAGTCCTTCGGTGCTGATACATGTAGACCCCAAACTCGTGTAAAAGTATCTCCTATACTTACTCTATATAAAAGTACAAAAACTATATCTGGTTGGCCCATACAGTGTAATACTTGAGAGAAAACCCCAGGGTTGCCAAGAATTAATTATAGAAGGACAAATCGCCCGAAATATTAGGACCAAATACATGTAGCTTGCAATTCTAAGAGAACAGCGTACAAAATAATGTTATCAGATGGAAAACCTAATTAAGTTAATTGATGAGTTTATCTCTGAATTAGACAGTCGGCAAGACCAACTCCCCAAAAGAATTTCTGTAAACGAAAATCATGAGAAAGATACTTTGATTTTTAAAGAGTATTCAAATCTAATAAAATTTGATTTCTTATGTCGAACTTTTTAACAAATATATACAAGCCATATAATCAAAGAAAAAAAATTAAGTAAGAAAAACTTGTATTGTAACCATACACAAGCGCTCATAAATAGAAATCAATCAACTCAAACCATACTCCTTTAAATACGGTATTATTATTTCTATATCGGCATGCTTTGCTGGCATCCATGTTTGTATGGATATACTCACACTGATTGGTTTCCGGTTTTGCTGAACCGTGAAATGAGTTCTGGGGAGATCCCAGTGCTATTTAATGTTGTATTGTGACAGCTTTATTCGCAAGCGATGCAATTAAATTAAACAATAATTGTGGCTGGTGCGATTTCCATCACCATCTAATGTAGGAATGTGGCAAGCCGATTTACTATTTTTAAACAAAACAGTAATTATATCTGTCTAATTGAAAAGAATTTCTTCATTAATAGAGTTTTTTTAATCGGAAGACGTAGAAATATTTTTAGGTCTGAGAGAATCATCTTATTCCATAAGAAATAAACTGTATTTTTTGCAGAAAAGAGTTTTCTCTTTTGACCGATCTATATATGTCTACATGCATTTATTCTGAAAATAAATTTTTTTAATCTATATATGAGGGTTGTCCCAGAAAAACGCGAACTTTTCAAATATTTCATAAACTACCTTACCAAAATTATTCAGTTTTGGCACAACGTTGGGAAATGATATTTTCGTCATTTCGACCAAATACTATAAGGTTGGAATGTCATCTGCATTTAGAACACAGCATTTAAAGGGTGTTAAATATCGGTTGTCGGCGCAAGGCAATTTCTTGACTTTCAAAATTAGCGTTGCCATCTATGTTCTCTTTATTACAAAGCTATTCGAAAATATAATGTGACAAAAATTACATCCATAGAACCTGTACGATATAGAGTATTCGTGTATAAAGAATTAATACTTTGACATCATAAATAACAAAAATATGACGTTATATGACCAAACACTATTAGTTAGATTAGTCAAAAACGGCGACGTCGGACGATAATGCGGAGCACCAAATTATCACTTAGTACTGTGTGGAGCAGGGTATGACACATGTTTATACGGGAAAAGAGTTGGAACGAAGGAACGACACAAATACATGTATCGAATACTGGTTGATACATAGTAAAAGAGGTTCAAAGATGGATGGACTGGTTATCCGTTGGAAGAAACGTTTGATAGACTCAACAAAAATGACAACAAACTGACAAGTCTAGAGCTGGACGTCATACGTGGAGACCGCCGTTAACTATGCGAGCAGTTAAGTTTATGATCGGGTTTGGAAATTTTCTATTAAAAGAATTGACTCTTTGATTTATTCTTAACCGTAGTACGTGTGAAATGGATAACCCGATAACTAAACGAAAATCAAATGCACTATCAAATTTCTGCTTCGAACTATTCTTAAAGACACACGATTCCTGAACAAATTCAAAAACTGCACGGTGTTGCACCGGGAGCTATTTTGAATGATTCGTTTATCAGAGATAAAAATGTTATTTATAGAGATATTTTATTGATATTTCTGTGATTTATGTAAAAAATGTTGATTATGATGCATGTCAATTTTTAACTTTAAAATATTAGTGAAACGAAAAATACTGAAAAAGTTTGCGTTTTTCTGGGACAACCCTCGTAGATATCTCTAAATTTTGGGTGACAACTTTTGTTTCTGGGATCTCTCTTCATAGAGATATTTCTTAGTCTTAATGGAAAATTTCTATCAAAAATGATATATCTCTAAATGTTTAAAGATATCTTTGTGAAAAGGAGATATTATTACTGTTTTATATATATAATATTATTTCTATAGGTAAAATATATCTTACTCTAAGATAGAGATATCTTATATGCAAAAGAGCTATCTCCTGAAATAGAAAGATATTTTGCTACAAATTAGGTATTTCTTGTGAAAATAGTGAAAAAAAAATCCCTTCAGCAAAAAAGGCATCTCTTTGTTCACAGATATTTCTACAAGCAATTTTCAGAGAAAAATAAACATGTGACCATGCAAGAATAGCTTTCATTTTGCTTTGGAAATTTAAATATGTATTTCATACCAGAACAAAAATAGGTAAGAATTAATAGGTGGAATTTAAAAAGATAAAGAATTATTGTCGAAGTATTGTATATGGACATTGACGTTTGCCTTTCTTCTTCATAGACGTTCTGTGTTTGGAGAAACTCGATATACTGCTAACAGAATAAACAAAATTATCATGTTTTGTAGTCTTTATTGTATTTATCTTCTCGTATTCACCGAGTCCAAATATTCCAGATTCATTATCTGTCTTTGAATACTGATAAAACCTGTAATTGTAGACGCATTAATAGACATCATTGTGTGCTGCTTTATGCAAGAGCGATGCCATTAATTCAATTTGTATACTTAAATTGGTTCACTACAATTAAGTTGTACATTGAGATAATCAGTACATTTATTGTAACATCATTCTTAAATATCTTAGATATAATAAGGAAAGCTTGCTTTTGTTTGTGTTCCGGTATATTAATCAGTAAATTGAACCTCATGTTATTGTCCATTTATGCAAACTTTCTTATAATTCAATGACGGATGCTTAAAGCATCTAAAGTAGTTGAAAAAAACATACATATCTCTTTTCGAAATAAATAAATTCATGTGCCTAGGAGGAGTAAGCATCCCCTGTTGACCGGTGACACCCCCGCCGTTAGCCCTATGTATTGATCAGTTAGACGGAACATTCCGTAGTATAAAAACAAAGACCTAACAATCGGTATGAAACATCAACCAAAATACGACCCAATGACAGGTTATATCTCGTATTTGCAAACGAGATCATTATTTCGACCATAAAATTTACGAAATGCTGACTTCAAACGAGGTTGTTGAAATTCCTGCAACATCAACTTATCTGTCAGTAGCCTCCCTTGGTTTAAAAACTGGTCGTACTCGGAGCATGCTCTTGAGTATCGAATAAGTTGGGAGATGTAACACCATATGCAGGTGATAGCGGGATATTACTACATAAATAAAGAAAGTTGACTATGGAAAAGCTAAATTCATCTCGTTTGATATACAGTTTAGTTGTGAGTAAGCCCTGATCGTCTATAGTTAGTAAAACATCCAAATATGAAACAGATGTTGCAGAGTTCTTGGTGTCTTTTATTTCAAATTCACTATGATTAAGCCTTGTACAACCGAATGGTTATTGAAGTTTAAGTTTTCGGGTCATCATTTTAATTGCAGAAAGCCTTCATCGAATCTCTACTCGATTTATTTGAGCAAGAAACGGAAGACATGATAGACGCCATTGAAGAAAGCCGGATGGAACTTCGGGGAACTATGCTGGATTTTGAAGACGAGACCGAGCAATTAAGGGCAGAGTCTCGAATGCTTGGTATACATTCATGTGCCATTATGTCCATTTCTGTTTCTCAATTTTCAAGTTTGATGTCAAATATTTTTCATGAAGCATATAATTGGTAGATTGCCCATTTGAAGTCAAAAATTTCAAATAATTGATGTATTTTTGCAACTCGAGTATATTGATTTTAGTCAGTCATGGACATTTCAGTGTCGTAATGAAAACAATTACATTGACAGAACAACGACGAATTGAATACGAGAAGCAAGCGGTCGATAAGTATCTGGAAAAGAAAGGACGAAAAAGTCAAGGTTCCAGAGCATCCTCTAGAATTTCAATCGTTAACGAAAGAGATGATGCTAGAAGTCGAGCAGCTGTGGTGGATTATATCCGGAAAAAGAAAGACAGGACCGGAAGTTCTCTCAGTGTTCATAGTAACCCAAGCATTCATTCCCCTAACAATGAACGTCCTGTTAGCGTTATCAGCTCTAGAAGTTTACCCACACCAGTCATGTCACAGAAAACCATCGAAGAGGTAATGAAATGGTCATATAGCAAGACACAAACATCTGCTATTAAACAAGAACCAAAAAACACAAGTTGTCATAGCTTTTCCCACCAAAAAGTCATTGATCAGGATTAAATTTAGGGATGTCAAAATATTTATTTTCCTTAGTCGATTATTCAGTTGCATTGTTCGAACGATAGTCGAATATTCGGAACATTTTCTGAAAATAAAATTTTATTTTAAACTTCACTGGTACATGACGTATTTGTAACTCAAAACCCCTTTTACATAAATGTATTTAAAAAGTAACCTCAAAATTAATGCAACGTAACGTGTGGATAGCATGATTATATGAAATCAATTTAGACACCTAATTCTCCAAAATGTAAAATTTCCCCATCAATCGAATTCATAAATCGGTCTATAAGTCAATTTTTGTTTTAGTAAGCATTATTTAAAAATTGCCAGCCGATTTTTTTTCTTTTCAATTTTTTTTTAGCTTATTATGAAAGAAATAAAAATCAGGTGCTCGTGATATTTTTAAACAGTAGGATGAAATATATGGAGATAACGAACAGTATTCAAGCTCAAAAGTCCATTATACAATACAAAATAGGAGCAGAGCAAACAGGGACCTCCAAACATCAGAGGTGGGATCAGGTGCCATGGAGGAGTGAGCATCCCCTGCCGACCGGTCACACCCGCCGTGTGCTCCTTGTCATGATCGGGAAATAACGGAAAAATCCGTCGACAATTCAGTGTGTAAATAATGGCCTAACAATTAGTATGAAAAACGTCAGTCAGCATTTGACTCAATGATAAATTGTATTTGCTGACAAGGTCATTGTATCGACCATAGAACTTACGAAATGATGACTTTAAACGCGACAGCTGATATTTTTGTTTCATCAACTTATTTGTCAATAATTTACCTCGTTTAAGAAATTGTACATACGTAGAGCATGCTCTTGCGTATCGAATCAACTGAGAGATATATACCCCGTATGCAGGTGATGAAGGTATATTGCTGCATAAGTAAGGGAAGTTGACGATTGAAAAGTTAAAGTCATCACGTTTATCATAAAGCTTGGTTGTTAGATTACCATTAACGTCTTTTTCAAGTAAAATATCCAAACATGAAACAGATGTGTCAGACTCTGTGGTATCTTTTATCTCAAGTTCACCAGGATATATCGTATCGACATAAGAATGAAAATAGCCATTGTTAATTGACAATACGTCGTCGATATATCTAAATACTGCTTATTAAATTGATTGCCCGGCTATCAAAATGTCCTTAAAATGTAAGCGGATTGTTTTAATAATTATCGAAGTATCAAAACATGTCACGGCTATGGTGTGTTCCTTGGATTTGAGCAATCCTAAAATAACAAATTTACAGAATATAAGATCAAGCCCAATTAATAGTTTTCCAAACAAAGTCCAGTAATTTGATGAGTAATTTATTACAAAAACAACACAGTCAGTATCTGACATATAATTCCCGCGGTAGTGAAGCACTTACGATTACTGTACTTTCTATAAGTACATTGAAAGTCAATTCGTTTTTTTTTTTTTTTTTTTTTTTTGTTGTTGAGGAAAATTTTCGACTGTCTCCGAGGAAAGACGGTTTCTCAATTTTAAGATGATATTCCATCTCGTTAAATCACTCTTTTATTGCATTTATTTAATAATAATAATAATATTCGAATGTCGTTTCATTATTCGATCGTCGGTCCATTCGACTGATAGTCGAATAGTCGACTAATCGTTGACATCCCTAATTAAATTTCAATCTTCAGTTTAATGCTAAAATTCTACAATATATTTAGAGAAATTAGGTCTCCTACAAAACTGCCAAATACTAGAAATACGAGAAATACTATTTCAAACAATCAAATAAAACAAAGGCTGATTTTTTAGGAGACTGACTTGATAATGAAGAACATGGCTGCCGCGGACCATCAGATGGAGTATCAGAGACACCGTCACGCTGAGATGTTAGAAAAGAGAAGGCAAGAAAGGGCTGTCAAAAAGAAGACCACAGAAGAGAAAGCCTTAGAATTACTGGAAAAGGCCCTACTAGTGGACAAGCAGTAAGCTTATCACAGAACATCTTACATGTACCATATATGTTTGACGATCTTCAGAAACAAACATAGTCTGTCACTTGAATGGTTCTATTTTAGATACAAAGTCTTTTTATTTACTTTTTAAGTCCCCCTCCCCCCAACCCGAGAAGTTGCTTCTCCATTTTCAGAAAATTAATTTCTTAACTCTTTGTATGATTTTTTGAACAAATAAGATACTAAAAAATAAATTTAAGAGGAACTTAACAGCAAATATTGAAAAAAAAATCGACATACTTTAAATTTATAAATGATAAATGAGATCTACGAGGAAAACTCGATACTTGATTTGAGTTCTATCATCAAGTGTATAGCGTAGTGTACTTAAAAAGTCCTGCCAATCACCTTATCTTTTAACATATCGTGTATATTCTAACACCATAGGATCTAGTTTTGTTAGGAAACTTTTTCTTTATTGATTTGAAGCTAATCAAAGAACTAATTATATTGAAAGTTAACACAGAGCCATCTTGGACTCGGGTACACTTCATACAGTCTTTAAAAACTATTTGTTATCACAAAGTTGATCACGTGATACAAGTCAATACAAATGAGTAGATACAGCAATATACACTGAAAAATATTTGAACTAAAATTGTTGAACATGTAAACTATGAGGATATTTACTTTTATATATATAGGGATATTTGATTTTCTTTTATAGCATATCTGTTTGGCTTTATTTTCCGATATATTTCTGCATTATGACTATACTTCAATACATTTTGTACGTTGGCCAATGCTTTCTTATTTTCTGACTTATTTCGTATAAATAAAGTTGTGTGACTTTTTTGTGTGTACAAATCAATGACATCCATAATTCTTCTGGGAATATTCACCATTTCAATGTGAAATCAGCTAAAGACAATGTAATATTAAGTAACACAGCGACTTCAAAGGCTTATGAATAGAAAATGCTCTCTCCTCGCCTGATGGAGAATTCAAATTTATCTAAAGCAGAGAAAGAGATATTCTTGAAAACTGACCTTGATTGTTAAAATTACTGATGGTTTTTTAATTTCTTTTTCCGCTGCATAATATATTTGGTTTAGTAATGATAACGAGCGAGTGATTAAAAATTCATAGGCGTTGTCAACAGAATACAAGTTAAAGGAAGCTTAAACATTTACGTGAAATAATCACCTGCTTTGTTCCAATCATAAAATATCAGACCAGTGTTCGGGTGTAACAGTTCCCGATATTAATTTTTAGTCAAGTTCATCAATATAAAGAATCGAAAGGGAAAGGTTTTTGATCAACAAAAGAGTCTAAACAATAGAAACAAACGTAAGTAGCAAACTCTTAATAGACCAGGATCGATTATGTCCTCCCCTAGAATTCCGTAAACCATTCTTAATGCAAAATTGACAGAAACAGAGTCAATAAAGTCTGGTATTAATACAAATAATTCTCTCCGAGAATTTTAGGCGACTATTGAATGTCTAAAACAAATCCTGCAAGACATTTGAATGGAATAGTGATCTTCAAAGAAATCTGACTGCATTACTTTCATGAAAAGACAGGTATAATCCTCATCTCGAGAGAGAAAGAGAGAGAGAGAGAGTAAAACTCTATTTGCGATGTAACATGGTTTTCAGTGACCCCAATAATCGAGAAAAATATCCATGAACTTTCTTTTAAAAATACTCCTAATTCATCGACACCAGCCTTGACAACGGTAGGAACCAACTGCCACTACATGAATAGGAAGAAGTCTGCAAAATTCTGCCTGATTGGAAGATATAATCTAGACAATAGCAATAGGAGAAACAGGGAGTCAATAATTAGAACACATGTCGAACCTAGCTGAGTTCTGCCATGTACATATAGTTAAGGACTTCTTTTTCCCTCTTAGTCTAGTACAAAAAGAGTTCATCGTCAGATAAAAAATAAGAAATAAACAGACCCTGAGAAGATTTTTAACGCAATGCTATCTACATACCATCTAACAGAAGCACAAAATACAATAAAATCATTTTGATAAGAAAAATTAATACTTAGACAAAAACGTTTCTTCGAGTATGAATTCTAATAAGTATTCATTCTGAATTTCTATGCATATGCATGTTAGACTGAAGTCATAATGCAGATTTTACAACAAGAAAAAGATCGTCAGAATAAAATTCAAAAGCCGAATAACAGAGAGAGAGAGAGAGAAAAAAAAGAAAACATAAGTAAATACACCCAGTAGTGATGACAAATACTAGATACTGACACTTATGTTCCATTACAGGCTGGCAGCCAAGAAAGAAATTCAGAACCGGAAGCTACAGGAACGTTTGGACGAAATGAAAAGGAAGAAAGAACGAGATGCTGCCACTTCACGTGCTACATCAAGAGCAGACGACTTGGGTCATACGAACGAAGCTTTTGAAGACCTTGAAAAATACTAATTTAATCAAAAATGATACCGGCAAAGTGTTCAGTCCGGCAAAATTCAACAATTATTATCACAAATTCTGAACTGTTTGGGATTTGTCTGATAGGTCCCAACATAACAGAGTTACCTCAAAAATTGACTAAACAGTTTATGATCGACTGTGATAAAGAAATAAGAAAATTTGCAAATCTACATGTGATTTTTTTTAATACATGTAATATGTTTTAAGATGCAATTAGTAGAAATAGTATATTTTCCTATGACTGATTGCAATATTTTCTTTTTAAAATGGAAAATATTCGAGACATAAACATCATTTCTTTGAAACTCAACAGATTCTTAAAGTACTTATGACTTGTTTGATGTTTTGAAATTCTACTGTTTGTGTGTGTGTGTGTGTGTATGAGAGAGAGAGAGAGAGAGAGAGAGAGAGAGAGAGAGAGCACATGTCATTTAATAGATTTACATAATTTATTTTGTTGTGAATTCACAGAAAATACGATGTGACATGTTTTTGACTACTGTATTTACTAACATGCAGTTATAAAAGTTAATTTTCATCTTTTGAAATTTCAGAATTATTTGTTGAAACCATTTTGTTTGTAGTTGTAATAGATTTAAAGAAAATGCATTATTTTCTTGTTTCTGAGGAAAATATCAGAGTGTAAATGAGAAACAATAATAGGGGGCTCTAATTGGTGACTAAACAATTTTGATTGGCGCATATAATTTCTTTTTTAAGTCACAAAATTGGCGACCTTTTTAAATTGACTTGGCAATCGTCAAGTTTTCCTATGAATGATTGATTCCTATGACTGAGCCAACTATAAACATTTTCTACATTTTTTTTTCATTAAAAGCAGATGTTAGCAATGGCATGCCTCCATATATTGACTTAAATATCAATTTTTAAAATAGCGCCTAAAAAATTGCCTGGCGACTAGAACTTTACATCGGCGACTTAATGTTTTACCGGTATATTAGGAGCCAGCTGGGGGTCGTAACATAAAGCTTGCTAAGTTTTTGACTTAAGTAGGGTCGTAAGTATGTTTTAGGTGCAATCTTAAGACCTGCCTAAGTACTACTTAAGTATGTCTTAAACCGTAACATAAAACGGACTTAGGTAGGTCTTAGCTAAGTCAAACTTATGTTCAAAATATTTGTTATGAATCATCCTAGTTTTTCAATATATTTATATATACACTGTATATTTGTAAAAATGATTTAGTTACGTTTTTAATCACATATATATTAAAGCTGACGTCCTTACCTATCGGTTTTAGCTAGGTTCGATTAGATTTCGTATTTAATTAAAGTTAATTCTGTTTAAATTATTCGAAAAACAATGTATTTGAAAACAAATATTGCACGGTCATAAAATGGCACTAGTGGTTCATTGTAAATGTCATTGAGTGAATATTGTTTATCACTCGAGACTGCGATGTTTTCAGTTTACCGTTTGTTGTCATTCTTTCGTTTGACAAATGTTCACTTGTTTTCAAATTGTCATTCTCGCAGACATGGCACGATAACCGAATGTCTATGTACTTGAAATTGAAACTCTAATTAAAAGAGTGCAAAACAATAGGGACATTTTGAATTTTTTTCCTCCCATATCAGCAAGCAGAGACTGCAGACGTTTTATTATATACTTATTTACAATTTAATGAAGGATGGAAAAGAATTGTTTTCAGAAAATCATTTTTCGTATATCTCAAACTTATCAACAATCTCTCTCTCTCTCTCTCTCTCTCTCTCTCTGAAACGTTAGTGAACTCTGTCTGAATCCTCGCTTGTTGCGTTCTACATTCAATCTAATTTACAGAAAATCTGTGTTTTCTAGTCATCATCCTTTAATTCACCGACAATTTTTAAAATCATTTCATTTTTTCACAGTGAACAAACAAAGCCATGATTACTGTATACAATTGACTTATAATGATTAGTGTTTTATAACCTAAGTCCCATTAATATTTCAAACGTATCCCAAAAATAATATTTTGCATTTACATGTACATGTATATGTCATTTAGAGAGTGATATTGGAATCAGTGATGAATACCCCCCCCCCCTCCCCCCGACGAAAAACTAAAATTCTTTTACCAGTATATTAAATATTGAAAATTATTTTTCAATGCATAATATAAATAGAGGAATGTTTTAATATAGAAATTCAATCTTAAATAGTCTAAATATATGTTTAAGAAAGTTATGATATACTTAAGTCACCTCTACTGGCCGCCTAAGTTTTGCTAAGATTGTCAAATCTTAGCACGTTTCTAGTTACGGTCTTAAGTTTAAGACTGTACTTAAGTCCTACTTAAGCATGGTCTTAGACTTAAGTACCCTTTATGTTACGACCCCCTGGTGCCTAAATTTTAGAGGTCACTTAGAGGCCTGGATAATCATTCAATAAGTGTACGACTTCCTTATTGGTAGTTAAAGGGGCATGGACACAGAATTGAAGTTAATTTCGATACAATATCAAGGCTAACATGAACAAAAGCATGTCAGACCGATATATGATAAAAATCCTCTTTAGAAACTTCTTTTATCTGAATTTTTGTCTTAATGAATCAACTTTTATGAGCTAAAAATCGAAAACATGAACAATAACAGAGTTCGTGCCAATATTTACAAACACAAGTGTTTCATGTAAGGTTATGAAAAATGCCGTTTTAAAGAATTAAGAATTTTTTAATTAGTTCAAATCAATAAAATGAAGCAATTTTTTTTTTCGGAAAAAAGAATTGGAAAAAATAAAAATTGTAAATAAAACAGCAATGCAAGTGTGTCCTTGCCTTTTTAAACATTTCTTATACATGTACCTCCTCAAGACTTCGGCAAAAAACCTTAATTTTAATCAAGAAAATCTAATTGATTCTTGAATTATCGTGTACAACATGCAATGCTGACACATTTTATGACTAAAGCAATACTATTTCCAACAATTATTAAGTTTTGAATGTAGGAAAAGGTATGAACCGATTTTTAATTAAGTTTATTAAAACTCCAAGAGCTACGTACTCAGATGATAAGTGTTCGTTCAAATCATGAACTTTTACGACTGAATTTCATTCAACGGATAAACTACAGTGTTTCATTAACATTATTTATTTTTACAAGTGTTGTATTTTATTTCAATTATGCAATATGCTTTAAGAGTTAAAAACAATTTGCGAACCTGTGTGACAACTGGTAATATAGCTCACGAACTGCAAAGAAATTATCAGTTAACACTTATACCAAAATACTTTCAATACGTTTTACTTGAAAGTGTTTTAATTTTTTGTTGTTTTTCTTTAGGTTTAGCACTATGACGTGCTTCATATTCAGTTATATATCTCTAACCTGCTTGTATTTCAGGGAAGAATAAACAGGACGAACATGTACGTATACGATGATAAACTGTTCTTAGACAAAATAAGTAATTCTTAGACAAAATAAGTAATTCTTAAACAAAATAAGTAAAAAATAACAAAACTATCTAAATGAGGTACTTGTGTGTTTCCAGAATGTTATAATACAAATTGTTGAAAAAATGTAAATATGAGCTTGAATATAATCTTAACTTTTTCACTTTGAGTACCATACTTCACATGCTGTCAGGTGTCATACAAATTTTCTTAATGCACAAACCATTGTAAAATTTAAGTAGAAAACAACACAAGAAAACATGAAATCAAAAACAATATTGCAGTTGTGCAAGTTATACCGATATTTTTTGGTATCTTGGCAGTCAAATCACGTCACGTTTTTCTTTTCACACTATTTGTATGAAGCAGAGAAGCCATTTCATGAGGTGTTTAGAAATTCTGCTTGACGCTAAACAAACTATGCAGTCAACAGAAAATTTACTTGGTGCAGGGATGTGGAACACAATTACTCATTAAAGTAAGTGGACAACAGTTTATGTGAGAGAGATAAATTTATATAGTTAAGGTAATGGGATGGTCGATCAATTTATTACTTTCCATCATTCTACTTAGTGGATGGGATTACTTGAGGAATAGGTTGTTGACCTTTAGAATTTAAAGCAACAAATGCACTGAACCATGGATAGAGGCTTTTTGTAAAATAATGATAACGAGTCAACAAAAAATATAAAAGCATTCTACTGGACCATAGCTACAGTGATACCTAAAAGCTCCATTAAATTATTAACCAATTTACTGTAGGTCATATCCAGCATCCGAACCAAGTCTTGTAGTGTGCATCCCTGCATATATAATTTGTTTTTGGGATAGGAAGGGATAATAGCTACTTGGAAATGAACTTTAACCAAAAACTTTAACCCGGTCACTCATCCAGAAAATTTAGGTCAGATAAAGCTTCCAAAGCAAGTTTGGTAGTGTGAATCCCTAAATGCATCATCCATGCAAGTTTGGTAAAGGTTGAAATTATAGCTACTTATGACTGGACTTGACCTAAAACTTAAACATTGTCACTCATCCAGAAAATATAGGTCAGATTAAGCACCCAAAGCAAGTTTGCTAGTTTACTTCCCTATCTGCATCACCCATACAAGTTTGGTCACCACAGGGCATATTTATTGGGAATGGACTTGCTTCAAAAACTTTCAAATGGTCACTCTTTCAGAAAATGTAGGTTTGATCCAGCATACAAAGCAAGTTTTGGTAGTGTGCATCCCTGAATGCATCATTAATACAAGTTTTGTTAGTGTGCATCCCTTCATGAATCAAGAACACAGCGAGGCACGTCCGGTCAGTCTGGTCTTTTCATCTGTAGAAGGTTTGTGACGGTACATATTGTCGTTTTGTACATATTGTCGTCGGCGACAATATGTACCTACCCTCACTGCACATTTTGTCGTCCATCGGTACATATTGTCGCCGGATGAAAAGTAAGACATGTACATATTGTCGCTGGCGACATTATGTGCTTCACCCTCACTGTACATATTGTCGCCCCACACATATTGTTGCTTAAAGATTTCTTTTGTTGTTCATGGTCGTGTTGAGAATGTAATTGGTGTGTGAATCACACTGACGTGTCTCGTATGCTATTTTATGCAGCGTGATTGTGACGGTACATTTTGTCGTCCTGTTCATATTGTCGCCATCGATAATGTGTACCTACCCTCACTGCGCATACATGTATTGTCGTCCATCAGAGCATGTCGCATGACAATCCACGACAATGCTCCATGTAAATATGACTAATCATTGCTTTGCTGTTTTCAAGAAGATAAGTTTTAAAGAATTGTCAATATCATCCTATGTAAAACTTTGATCGCCCATTGTGGCCCCACCCTAGGCCCAGTTTTATTTGAAGATACTTGAATCTGCGCTACCTGAGGA